ACTCTATCAAACTAGGATGACAAAGCACCGAGTCATCTGTCAGACTGGTTAATCTGGTCCTGTCTGCTCAGGAGAATAATCATAGCTACATGTATTTGTCCTAAGGTAAAAAGAGCCACCGGCTTGAATAGACATCAATTTTACCTCTTTACAAATAGCTCTTTTACTCTTGAGGAGAAGCTGACTGTGCTTTTTGAGCTGTGTGTGAAAGCATTTTCTGCTACAGGGTTGTTTGCAGAAATATGAGCTGAGGATTTATGTATAGGAGCTGGAATGTAAAACGTTCATGCTGTCAGTTAATAATACAATCAAAAATGCTGGGGGAGAATAAGAAAAAAAATACACAGCAAGGTTAAGTGTGAAACATAGTGGATACTTCACTGACCGAAAGACCAAAGAGCTAATTAATTGTCCCAGCAGTTAGCAGGATGATTAATACTTGTCTTAGCTAATAAATGTCAATCTGCCAGGCCTCTGATCAGTGCAAAAGCTGCAATGTCAGAGCAAGACCAGGTTAATAATTAAAGAGTGTAATTTATCTTGTTGCACTTTTTATTTTTTTTTAGCTCTTTAGTCAAAGTATTTTCCTGTAATAGCAGTAAGAGGTGGAAATGCATTTATCCTCTACAGGAAAGCATATTTATTAGCCTAAGCTATTTCACAACCTGAGACAGTGTCTTAGTCCTGAGGGCAGTACATTATATATATATTTAGATTTTGATATATAATATATAATCTGATTTGTTTTTTTTTTTTTATCTCTATCTAATAGCAGAATGATATACACACAATATCTGGATGAGTTACTGCTATTTTTTGTAAGATTAAAATGAGCAAATTCAAACTCAGTTTCCAGATTACGATATTTTTATGCCACCGTGGCACTATTGTTGTTCTTACTGAAAATGTCCAGAACAATGAATGACAGTCAGTGATGGTTGCAGTATGATGTCGGCAAAATATCCCATCAGACAGGGTGCTAATCTGTCTTATAATAATAATAATAGGAGCTCCCTGATAGGTGTTATCTAACAATTCTTCCATAAGCTAATTACCTCTTGTCATTTTTTTTAGAAAATGGAGACTCTCACACTCCACTCCCTGTGTTGGCCCCTTTCTCCTTCATGTCTATAACATGCCCAGGAGATGTGGCTAAAGTTTTACCTGGTTAAAGATCCCAAATAATACATCAATTATTTGGTTACTGTTTAAGATCCTTTGTGGTTGAGACATATCACAACAGGAGTCAAATAAGTGCAAACAGAATGATTTTCTATTTATAGTCCAAATGTCTCTCTGTTGTTGACGTAACGCTGGAGCGTAAGATTTCCAAAACACTGTCTGCTATAAGCCTTAATGTTAAATGTCTGCCTTTCCTTTTTGTTCCCCGTACATGCACAAAGCTCCAGGGAGGAGGACTCATTGTCTGTTGTGTTGCCAAAACTTTAGGGCACTCTTTCTTTCCCTAGCAGCAAGGCAAAGCCTCAAACATTGTTTGCTGTGTGATCTGTTTTGTCTGGCCAGATGGGACCCATCATGACTAAGAAAAGCTTGGTCAAAACAAAGTGACCCCAAATATTGTTTTTAAAAGGAAGCTTTTATTGGCAGCTGTGCTTATTTAAGAGCAACGCTTAGATACAACTTACGTTCCTTGATTAAATATCAGATTTATTTGTCAAAGCCAAATATAAATAAATAAATTAATCTAAGTTAATACAGTATCTGCCTAAAAAGGCTAAATTGTAACTTAATTTCCCTTAAATTTGATTATGCTTAAGTTATAGCATTTTTACCTTATTTTCCCTCATTAATAACTACCAAAGTTTTGTCTTGAGAATCATACCTTGTGTTTCAATTATGTCACATTTAATAATCTATGTAAACAATGGTACAATCAAACTACAAAGCAAAAACTACATGTCCATATGCATTTTCAGGAAAGGGTATTTGTTTAAGGGAAAAAAAAAAGAAAATCTATGTACACATGTTTTTGCTGTTCAAAATTCTAATAAGTCCAATATCCGCATATAATCAATGGTAAAAAAGTGTGTACTGCGCTGCATCTTACTTGGAAGTCTATGAACATCAACTTATTTGAGTGAACAAATTTGACAGCTTTAAACTGTTTACAAAATATTGAGCTGTAACTGAAGTTCATAATTCTCTTATTATGAAGGTTTGGAAGAACAAATCTCCTTTTACGTAGTGCAATTTCAGAAAGTAGTCTATTACTAATCTGTTTTGAGGGATGGGCAAAAATACATCAACATGTATTTCCAAAAAAAAAAACCAAATACCCACTTTAAAAATGTATCAAAATAAACTACCGGTACTTTATTTTTGTATTTTCAAAATACTACAAAATACTTCATTCTAAGAGCCCTTTTCTTCTTTACTTCTACATTATCTTGGAAAACATCTGAAATCAAGTGACTCCTTCTATAATTAGTCAACAAATATGATGACCCCTCATGTTAGACACCCCAATATAAACCTCTGCCCTGAGAAATGTTCAGTAACTCAAGGAACCCTTCCTTAAGTATACTTATTTACTCTATTAGTAGAATAGATTGCCCACTATGAATCATTGACAATAACTCAAAGACAAACAACCAAAATGGATGATTTATGTAGACATTTAAACTTGTAGGCATTTTAACATTTGAAATGATTTAACACCATCACTACCACAGTGCACAACCTTGATATAACACAACCATAGTGGTTACCAGGGATCACACCCTGCTATAGGGTGTGATCCCTTATAATTGGAACACACCATCTGGTTTCCCTGAATAAGAAGATGGACCAGATGGTTTGTTCCAACTATAAGGGATCACACCCTATACTAGGGTGCTGGAGAGGAGAGTCTGGCTGATTAGTGCACCTAAACTTCAGGAAGAGCAGTGTGGTTTTTGTTTTGGCAACAAAACCAGTGGAACACTGGGCTAGCTCTAAACTCTCTGCAGGGTGCTCAATGCTGCTTGGGAGTTTGCCCAACTAGTCTACATGTGTTTTGTGGACCTGGAGAAGGCATTCTACCGTGTTCCTCATGGTGCTCTATGGGAGGGCGCTCCAGGAGTCCAGCATTGGGGGCCTTTTACTAGGGACCATCCGGTGTCTGTGCAAGGGGAGCACTAATTTGGTTCCTATTGCCAGCATTAAGTCGGACCTGCTACTGATGCACGTTGGACTCTGACAGGGTTGCTTTCTGTCACCGGTCCTGTTCCTAACCATTACAGACAGGATTTCTAGGCATAGCCATGGAGTGGGGAAGGTCTGGCTAGGGACCAGTGGATTTTGTCCATGCTTTTTGCAGATGACGTGATTCTGCTGGCTTTCTTCTGCAAAGACCTATAGTGCAGCATGCAATGGGGCAGTTCGCAGCTGGGTGTGATGCAGCCGGAATGAGAATCAGCTCCTATAATTTCAAGGCCATGTTTTGTTTTTTTTTACTGAAAAGATGGGGCATGTTCCCTTAAAGAAGGAGGAGAGTTCTTGCCTCAAGTGGAGGAGTTCAAATATCTTGGAGTTCAGTTCACAAGTGATGATAGAATAGAGTGGGAGACTGATGGACGGATTGGTGTAGCTCCTCTAAAATGCGGATGAGTGCAGTCTAGGAGTCTCTGCTGAGATTGCTGCCCCTGCAACCTGGTCCTGGATAAAGCAGAAGACTACTAGAATAAGTATAAACTTGTAGACTTGACTTGGACTTTTCCAAGACTTGAGACTGTTTGCCCCTTAAAGACATATGACATAATCTGGATTTTGGGAAGATATCTTTAAACTTGACTTGAATTTAGCTGGAATGGACTCATCCAGTTCGGTTATCTTGGGCATAGAAGGTAAAAAAAATATGGTTAAACTTATTCAGCAAAGTTCTGAGACTTTATTTGGACTTTCTCTTGAAAGATTTGGGGCTGGATATATCTCCCCGGCTTAAATAGATTTTAGTCTTTCAATCTGCATAACCCCTTATTTTAGCTCAGTTTTCCTTTACCACACACCTGTGTATCAGCATTATATTTTTTTGTGTAATTTAAGTATAAGTTTTTCATCTAATAATCACCTGATTAAGCTTTTTATATACCATATAAATCTTATTTTCTGTATAATTACCATATAAAATTACTCACCAATTACGGTATAGTTTGTTTCTTTTTGCCAGCTGCACATATGCTTTGCTTCATATAATTGTCTCTGTGCAGTAACTCATGCTTTAACTTGCTGGGCAGATTTCCTTCTGGCATTTAAATGCTCCCTTAATTACACACCAGGTGCGTTTCTTATTTTGTGTAATTAGTGCACCACCCCACTGTGACAAGTGAGTTTTCCTGTTGCAAGACTAAAAAAATGATCTTTTTGACTGGCTTCAATTAAACAAATAAAAAATAGGTGTTGTCTAAGTGAGTAGATTATGTTGCTGTTATTGTGTGGCTGGGCATACAAACCTATGGTTGTTTTGCTGATGGTTAGGTTGCTGTTTAAGCTGTAGAAATTTGCCTAAAAGCACAAGACAGCACAATTTAAAATGTCAAGTTTTATACTGCAATTTGCAAAAATGTACTGATATTAACCTCTGCAACACCTTACAAAAATAATTTTATGATTGTTTTGGAAACATATGTAACACCTTGCCCTCTGTAGTATATATCATATACATGAATATATATTGTTATGGATGTATTATCTGAAATTTGAAAAAGGGAAAAAATAGGAGAGAAAAGAAAGAGGAGTCTCTACAGAAAACATTGTTCAAAGGAGATCAGTGTTACTTTGCAATAATATGATAATTTTATGTCTTTAGTACAATAATCCTGCATTTTTCACCTGGCAACATGCACGGCACTATCAGCTGAACCAATTGTCTAGGCCACATGTTAGCACCACATGTCAGGAGGACCAATGTGTGTTATTTATAATGTTTTTGATCCTTTGTTCAATTTATAGTTTTTTTTTCTGCCTTTTCCCTAACAGTGTTTTATCTGGTTCTCTTCCAGCTGCTGAGTCAGTGAGAACATGGTCATGAGATGGGGAGATGGTGACCGCAGGCTGTGGCGCTTGGTGTCGTGGTTAGCAGCTGCCGGTCCTCAGTGACCTAAACCGTTCTGTAAATCCCTCTGGGTATAATTGGATGAAGTGTTCAAAGGAAGAATAAAGTGGAGAGGTTTGAACGGCAGTAGGCAAGACTTTAATCGATGCATTGCATCAGAGGACCATAAAAACACCAGCTGGAGATTTATGTTGTTAACTTCCTCCGGTGCTTAAGTTTGTTTGGCTTGTTAACAGGTTTTTGAGCTCTGTGGCAGATTTTTTTTTTCAACAGTGGTCTTAACACTTGGTCATGCCGACTCTGTTGGAATCGCATCTGGTTAAGAAACATGGCTAGCAAAAAATAGGAATTAGTTCACGAAAACATACATTTACAGGACGTTCCTAACGGCTGCAGCTATAAACAAACCAAGAGCTAAAAATCCTTAGTCAGTCTTTTTCTAGCAGCCATATGGTCTCAATCTGAATTTTTTTTTTTTTTTTGGTGAGGGCAAAATGTCTATATAAAACTGTTCTAAGCTAAATCTCCTTTAGCACAATTAATGGCACCCCTGCTGTCTAGTCATGGTGAACGGCAGTTACAAGTTAGTCTTCATGTACATATTATTTCACAAATGTGGAGCATAAAAGAAAGGGGGATGTTTGCCTTTAGGAAATCTCTGTAGATTGTTCTGTTTACTTATCCTTCATTATTTTTTGTCTTCTTCAGCTCACTGACAGTTTTTTTTTATGTATTTACTGATTTTTTGTTTTGTTTTTGATTTACTATTTCTGTGATATCTAGGACATATTATATAGTGGACATTATTTAGGTCTTCTGGCAAATATTGCATCAGACATTTGTTTGGATTATCCGCATATTTCAGAAAATACATTGTCGTAATGTAAAACAAGTGTTCCAGAGCCTTTGTATGATAAAAAGTACAATACTTAACTCATCTAATCACATAAGTCCAATTGAAGTGTTTGTAGTTTTACAAAATTCATACATTTATATTTGTAATGATAGAAAAGGAAACACTTTCATTTTTATCCTAAGAAGCTACTCCTTGCTGCCGTTCAACAAAGTAAATATTAAAGATCTTCTTCTTTAGTGACAAGATAAGGTGAATAAAGGTAAAGAGTCACAGCCTCAAGGCATAATTATAACCTCGAGAAGCAGACAATAATGGTTTCCTAATTAAAAGCTCATGTAAGTTCTGACGAAAAAGTAAAGGTTTAGAAAAAAAAATTGTTTAATTAAATATATTGAATGTGCCTTTTTGGGGGTACTAATAAAACAATAATATTTTATTTTAAGTGTGGAATTATTCTCCTACTAAGAAAAATATAATTAAAATGAATTATGCATTATTGAACTGTCTTCAGTAACAAAACAAAAACAACTTCTGTTGCCCCAGTTTCCTTTGGAATGTATGGATATGTGACTGCATTTGATTATATTAAAATGTCTTATGATATTGTTATATTGTTAATGTTAATGTTTAAGCTATAGGTTGTTACTAATGCGGGGCAATTTATTTTGGTGTTCAGAAGGTTTGTGTTCCCTCACAAGATTAGTGTTATTTGACTTAATTTAAAACTTAAACCTGCTGCTCTGTTGCCTTTTTATGCTCCTTTCAGTTATTTTTGCAAGAAAGTTAATTTATGTCCTAATGTTCAAGTGCAATGCTATACAAGTACAAGGCTCATTAAGAAGACCTCTGCAGTGGATGACCTCTGCAATTAAATGTTCACAAAACCCATGATAGTGCTTTTTTTTTTTGTTCATTTGTAATTTAATGTCTGACTTTGCTTTAGACCTTATTTTTGTATTGAAAGCCTTTTGCGTTATTTTCCAACAATATTCCATCCGAATAAATGGTTTCCTTTAACTTACAAGCTTCAAGTGTTTTATTACCATTTAGTGCTGGCTGCCTACTTATACCAGATGTATTGTAGAAAAGGGACTGAAAACTCATTGTTGTTGTCCAATCTTCTTTTTTTTTTTCTAAAGGAATAAGTTCTCATGCAATATGGCAATCAGCCTAAATGGCGCATGCAGGAGGATGGGAAAAACACAAGCAGCTGTTTCTGTTATAACAGAGATGGGGGCCAAGAAAAGAGAGGGACTGAACTGAACAGGAAAGAGGGTGTGTGAAAGAAGCAACGACATAGTGTGTCAGGGTGTGAGCATCAGAGTGGTATTTTGGTGCCCATAAAGTTCAATGTGTTCTTGTTTTGAATTTCAGGGAAAGTTAATCCTAGCAGCAAAAAAAGAAGAAAACGCAAACTGAATTTGTTATCTCTAAATGGACAAAAGTAATTTTTTTCAGATTATTCCCACATTCTGTGCAAACTGGTCCAGTTTAATAAACTCTGAGCTAGAATTAAAATCAGTATCATTCAATTAGGGAGAAAATGAGATAAGTAGGTATTTTTACATTCTGATAGTTAAACATTTAAGATCAAGAGCCCCAAACATACACCTGGAAAAAACTGTTTGCTGTGCATGACTGTCCTTTTATTGGGGTTGTCCAGTTCCTTCTTGTCTTTGTTTTCTTCCCTGTTTGTTTCTTTGACTATTGAAATTCAGTTCTAGGTTCCAAACATGGGGCGATTGATCAGTTAACGTGGTAATGCAGGGAAGCAGCATGTATCAGAATTTCAACAAATGTGCACTAAATTGTCAAAATAATGCCTTGGAAATGTAGATGGCACTTATTTCTAAATATACATTTTATCAGGAAAAAAAAAAGTTGATATAGGGTTTAAAAGTCACTTAAGTGACTCATAATAATAATAAAAACTTCCTCCTACTGGCACTCCATTTTAGAATGAATTTTAGGAAAGTATTTAGACAGAGGGCAGACAAAAAAGCAAACAGTTCAACAGTTGTATTACAACCGTCTTCCACAAAAAGAATGATTATTTTCTCTGATTTCCACATTTATCATTATTTTATATTGCCAATTCTAGATTTTCTGGACTTGCTTTTCTGAAAACCTCTGTGGAAAGGCTGATTTGAGTGCATTCAATGTATAGTCCAATCTATATGCCAAGAAGCACAGACATGCTGCACATACAGTACATAAATATCCAGCAAACAGAAAAAAAAACTACTGATGGAAAAAGGTGAGCCTTGCAAAAATGAAAATGAGATTAACAAATACAGGAATTTTACATACACAAAAGAAATGCAAATTAAAAATGTTGCTGGAGGGATTGCTGAAATCCCAGATAATAAAGACCAGAAAAGGGCAAATATGCTGCAAACACATACTGATGCTAAAAAAGCAAAAAGCGCCTGCTGCTTCATTTTTTTTATGCTTGTACACCATTAAGGTCAGATGTGCCTTAATCCTTGATGCTCCTGAAGCAGTAAAGTGTATACAGATGCGTCTGATGTTTCCGCTGCTCCTGTGTTCAATGGCAAAGAGTGGTTTTGCTATATCTGCCGTGATAAAAGTGTAAAAAGTAGTTTCAATATGTTTATAAGTGAAAAAGTCCACCTCGAAACATCGACTGTGCAGTCTGTTCATCACGATTCCGATCCTATCTTAAAATACTATTTTGCTGTCGGAACTGCACAAACCCCTACATACTTGTCTTTCAGAATCCCCAGCAGCAGCTGCCTCAGGCCCAGTGGCCTCTTGGGGGGGATTTCTGCTATTCTTTGTGGCGGCTAGAAGTAGATGTTAGCGTTTTTCAGGTATATGGTACAAACTGCAAGCACCAAAATAACAAAACAAACATGTTTTGATGGCAGGTTTCGACATTAAGTTAATTTAGGCGTTAATAAACTGTTTCATGGGAGTGATCATTGAATCAACGTTTTCTGTCTCCCTGCCAGCTCCCAGATGAGCTTCTCTGATTGGTTAAAGTAGCACGTCAAGCAGCAAAAGTTCGAAACTCTTTATGCGCCTCAGATGCCCAGAAGCACATGAGGTGCTGCTCAGATGCGTCAAGATGAACCACTTCGGCTGCTTGAGACGCGCTACAGGACCTTTTGATGCGCCTTGATCCGCATCAACTATTGACTTTGCATCTAAACCAGCTGCTTCTGCTGCTTTAATCACATTAGGTGTGAACGTAGCATTACCATCTCAGATCATGCGATTTATGTCAGTATAAAGGTCTGTTCCAATATGAGTAAATTACTGTCTTCCCCTTGTGGTCTGGAGTGCTTCACCTATACAGTGCAGAGCTACTTTGATTTTTTTTTTTTTTTAAACTTGCACTTGTTTTTATTATTAGTTACAACATTTTCCCTTTTATATGTTTTCCTATGTTAGCATAATTTAGGTGTTTGCAAAGGGTTTTTTGTTCGCAGTGCGTTCACACACTCCATTTTCTGTGATTGTAGAATTTCACTTGTGCAGTTTTTTTTGCATCCTTGTTTTGTATGTGCTTGTTTGCTCATTGTTTGTGTTTGCTTGTCTAATCTTTGTGTTTTTTGGTAGCTGTTGCACATTTATTTGTAATGTGTTTTCAGCTATCACCTACCATAAAATCAGAACTGGAAAAAAAAAAGGCAAAAAAGTGCATGGTGCTGCAGAGTGTGTGTGTGTGTGTGTGGGGGGGGGGCAAGCAGTATAAAGTCAGGGTAGAAATAACTGGTCATATCTTTTTTACTAGATACTATACTTTCAAGTTATTTTACTGTAAATTATAAGACTACAGTAATCAGAATTTTTGCAATTTGTTAAGTTGGACATTTTTTATCCTTGATTTACTAAGAATGAACGAACTTTTATTGTATGGTGGTAGGCCACAAAGAACTTTTCACTTTGCTTAAAACATTATTTTGCATTAACAAATGTTCTTGGACACTCCTGAAAGCTTTAAGAAGTAGTTTTTATGGCTTTTGTGTTATGATCAAGAAAGCTGATGTCCATGTCCTCACTAAAACCAGAAAGTAGAGCATATCATCCCAGTTCTAAAGTACTTACACTGACTCACTGTATCAAAGAGAATAAACTCTAAGTACTTCTGTTGGTTTAAAAATCACAGAATGACTCGGCACCAAAATAAAACGCACATATTTGATGTCAGCCTTTAACTCTCAGGTCTTTTAGCTCAAGTCTGCCACACATACCTAGAACCAGAACCAAAAATGGAAAACTCATTAGCAGAATCTGGAACAAACCAAAGAAGACTATAAAAGGGCGGAGCTATTATGTGTTTTAAATCAAATTTGCAAACCCGTCTGACTACTCCTTGCATTTTTCTATTTAAACTGTTAGAAATATCATTTGTTAAAATTTGTAGAGCAACTTTTCTCTCTTTGCATTTATTGTGCCCTTTGAATGCACTTTTCTACATTTTTCTTCTTTCATGTTCAGTTCTGTTCATGTACAGCACTTTGAATTATCATATGACTGAAATGTGCTGTACAAATTAAATTGCTTTACCAAGCTGACAAATCAATGTTTAGTCTTTTTTCAGGTGTATACAGCTTTGAACCAGTCAAAAGTCTTGAGAACCCACAACCAGAC